CAATGATCTCCAAGGTCCCTTCCAACCATGAGGATTCTGTGATCTGTTGTCTCTGGTTTCTTCTCCTGTGTAAGTTTCCTGCAGCCATTCCGTGGAGAAAGCTGTAAGCACCAGATGGCTTAACACACTCTGGGCATCTGTTGGCTGGTACCAAGGTTGTGCCTGTGTGCAATGGCACTGCGAGGAGCGCCTCTTGGGGAGGGGGGGTCAGCATGTCCACGGGCAGCCGGGGGCCTGTAGGCCTTTTGAAGATGAGGTTTTGCCCAAGCGGAGTGGCAGACAAGGCTTGCTGTGTGGGCTCTGCAGCACTTGGCACACAGGTGGATGGGCAGCAGACCAGGAGCAGGATGGAGCTGGGGTCGGTTGGACACTTACAGCGGCACATGTTCACACGGGGCACTCTGCATCTTCAGTTTATCTGGCCTAAGTTCCAGTGCAACCTTTCTTTCCAGATGTGGGCAGACAGATAGCTCTTCAGTGCCCCGAGCCTGACCTTGGTCCTGGGTGGTGGTGAGGGACTGATGTGTTTACAGATTTCAGCCTTGAAATACAGCGCTTTCTCTCCCAAGACCATCATGTTTCTGTTTGGTATGCGTGTTTTCTCCACCCCTGTGTGAATTCTGGTGGAAAACATTCCGCCACCCTTCATTTGTTTTTAAAGATACCTAGACTAAGTGAATTTATTAAAGGAAGGTGATCCCTGGCTTGTAAAAAAACCCCTTGTGTTTATTACCTGGGTCTTTTTCTAAATGAAAATGACTCCTGCAGGACCCTGGTGCTTTGATGAGATGGGACACGTCTTTACCACCTCCATTCACAGCTTCCCAGGCAAGGAAAGGGAAAACACTGTTTGTGGATGACCATGGCTCAGATCCCCCCACTGCAGCTGCAGGAACTTGGAGGGCACCTTTTGCAGCTTCCAGGAAAGGCAGGGCAGCACGGCCTCGTTGTGTGTCTCAGAGAAGGCAGAGGTGATGTGCAGGCTCTTGGGGCTGTCGGAGATGCATTGCTGGGGATTGCAGCAGGGCTGCCACCATGCCTGGCGAGCCCCCGGGCTTAAGGATGTGTCCACACTCAGCTCTCCGTGGAGTGGGACCTGCTTCAACACGGAGGTTGTTTCCAGAGCAGAGACATCAGAGAAGAAATGTCAAGGCCGCGTTTAGGGTTTTGGGAAAAGAGGAAACGGCCTCAAGTTGTGCCAGACGAGGTTTAGATTGGATATTGGGAAAAAATTTCTCCACCGAAAGGAACAGGCTGCCCAGGAAAGTGATTGAATCACCATCCCTGGAGGTATTTAAAAGACACGTAGGTGTGGTGCTGGGGGACATGGCTTAGTGGTGGATCTGGCAGTACTAGGTTAACAGTTGGACTTGATGATCTTACAGGTCTTTTCCAACCTAAACAATTCTATGATTTTTAAGTTCGTTTTCCTTTTTTGAAATGTGTCTGGCGACGTGACACTTGCTGAGATGGCATTTTGTTTCCTGAGCAGAGCAGTGCCTTGGCAGGCCTGGACGGGGACCCGGCGCAGGAGGCGGCAGCCCAGCATGGCTGGGAGGTGAGTGCTGCGTTTTGGTGCAAGCCTTGTGGTGGCCATCAGTTCTCAGCTGGTTGTTTTCCCTCTCTGTTCTCTGGGAAGAGGATCCTGACACAGACAGTTTGCAGAGCCGGTTCAGCTGTTCAGACAGCTCAGCCACAATATGTTGCCTCCAATTCTTTTGTTAAGCACATGCATCAGCTGTACTTGTTTGCCTTGAAGCTGTGCGGACCACAGACACTCCTGAGAAAATTCAGCTTCTGCATAGACATAAAGAGCTTGACAGTGATCTCAAATGTACCCCGACACACAAGGCAGTGAGCTGCAATCCTGCCATGGCCCATGAAGCTCTTTAGATTTTAGATTATATCATTAGTTACTGCACTCCCAAAGCCTCGACCTCTGGAAGCTGAAGCCAGAAGGGCTGTGCGGCTTTATGTCCCTTCAAGACCTAGGTATTCCCTAGAGATGCAGTGGTTCTGGGGTGGATGTGGGACCTGCAGAGGCTCTGGGATAAGTGCTGAGACCCACGGTGGCTCGAGGATGCAGGAGCTCGTGGCAGAGTGAGGCAGGGACACACGATGGCCAAGCCTCCAGTTGGAGCCGAAGGGGTATTTCTGTGGGTGTCTGGTGGCAAAAGTGTGGGAAGGAGGGCAAGGGCTGGTTTTGGCTGGCACATGCCATGGGAGACACAGCTCTGGTGACCACAGCAGCTCTGGCTCCGTGGTCATGATGCCACGAGGGGTGACGTTATGTGGCAGAAAGCCCCGCACCGAACGATGGAGTGAAGGTGTGACGCTGCTCCACTCAGCAGTACGAAAAGGAAAAAACTCATCTGTCTGACAGTGAAAGCCATTGTCCCCTCTATTTAATTTTCATGCACTAAATTGGGGGGGAAGCAATGCTGCACCTGCTTTCCTCCTCCTCTTCCTCCTCCTCCTCTGTCCAAGCACAGATGCTGACACCCAGTGGCCATGGAGTTTCTAGCGCACGGACGAGATGAGACTGAAAACTTCTGCAGGGATGCCTCAGCCGGTGAGATACATCTTCTACCTTCTCATTTCCTCCAGTGCAAGAGAAGCAAAGAGCTCCTGAGAGATGCCAGCCTGTCTTTCAGCCATTGGCAGGTTACAGTGGTTGAAACAAGTCAAAATCTTGTATCCAGAGGCCAGTCAGATAAATGAAAAAACACGAGGATTGATAATGAGGAAATAGAAGGTAAACTTGTTTTCTATTTGTTCTCTTGTTGGCAGCTTGAAAATAGACCTGAGTGAGAGAAGGAGGGCGATTTTGTGAGTTCAGAGACTGTGGTGACCTTGGCATTCGCCTTCCCTGTTTTGCTGCTTCCCAAAAGCAGTTAGAATATGACAGACGCAAATTGATTTTGCATTTCCCTGCAGCAAGCACCGGATCGTGCTTTCATATGTTTGACAAGTATTGACATTCTCTAGGGAAAAAAAAAACTGTAGGAAAGGTTGCTTTTTATTCTTCAACAAATGGCTCTAAGAATTAATCAGTCAAAGACAGAAAAAAAGACCCTAAACTCAAGGGTATGCAAAGGAGTTCTCTTTATATATTTGGCAAAGACCTGCCTCACCAGACATGTGGGGCTAAGATGGTAAAAACACCAGGGAACCCAAACATGAGCTGGGAACAATAAGAGCAGAGGAAGCCAACGGAGGGGTTTTGAAAGCGCTTTACTGAAAATATTAATTATGGACTACAGCAAATGAATTAAACCACTGTAATGCAAATACCGTGTGAAAGAAATACATAATTAGTGTAATTCTATAAACATAGGGAAAAAAAGCGTACTACTGAAACTCTAGCACGGTTCAGGATCTAGTGTAATTCTATAAACATAGGGAAAAAAAAGCCTACTACTGAAACTCTAGCATGGTTCAGGATGTTAGGAAGGTCTAGCAGCTGGCCACCTAGTAGGATTACATTTTGCACATGCTGCAGATGCGGTGCTGTGGGACAGCAGGGGGGTGTCCTGCTGCTGCTGCAGAGGGGACCCTCTGTAGGGTGACTCTGGGGAGCCCCTCGCCGGGGCCGAGCCAGATTTCCATACTTAAACACGCCTGAAAAGCTGCAGCATACAGATACCATACGTAGATGTACTTAATTTATCACTCGGTTACTAGGCAGGTTTCTAGGCAGGCTTCAGCCGAACTTTTACATTTACTGAAATAGCTCTGATCTTTTTGGGGGGTGAGTTCTAGCTGCAGAGGTAGAACATCTGTACCTTCACCACCTCGTAGATGCACCCATTCTCTTTAATTCTTCTTCTTCTTACCTCTTTTTGGACAAAATTAGACTAGAAACTCTAACCCAGCTTAAACCCACCCAACAGGCTGGGATGGCCACACCATTTCACTGAATTTCACTGAATTTTTGGCCCACTCCAAACACCATCCATGCCTGATGTTCCCACGTGGTGATGCAGGTGGGATGTCATCAGAGGTACCCAGGGCAGCAGGGTGGGCTCTGGCTGTGGCTGTGGCCTTGCTTTGCCCCTGGAGGAGGCTCACAATGCACTCGTGTGTTTTCAGTAGGCATTTGAACTGTTTAAGAGGTTGGCAGAACACCAAAGGTCTACCAGGGGTTATTTCTGGTAATGGCAGATTTCAATGGGACTCTTCCCAATAGTTTTCTCTTTTAACCATTATTATTAATGCAGTAACTATTGCCCTGGGTGGCAGTTCTGAAAACCTATAGCCCAATTGCTATCCAGTTCTGGATGTGCCAAAATCTTCTGGTTTCTGAAAGAGATTCTTCTTACCTCTTTTTGGACAAAATTAGACTAGAAACTCTAACCCAGCTTAAACCCACCCAACAGGCTGGGATGGCCACACCATTTCACTGAATTTCACTGAATTTTTGGCCCACTCCAAACACCACCCATGCCCGATGTTCCCAGGTGGTGATGCAGGTGAGATGTCATCAGAGGTACCCAGGGCAGCAGGGTGGGCTCTGGCTGTGGCTGTGGCCTTGCTTTGCCCCTGGAGGAGGCTCACAATGCACTCGTGTGTTTTCAGTAGGCATTTGAACTGTTTAAGAGGCTGGCAGAACACCAAAGGTCTACCAGGGGTTATTTCTGGTAATGGCAGATTTCAATGGGACTCTTCCCAATAGTTTTCTCTTTTAACCATTATTATTAATGCAGTAACTATTGCCCTGGGTGGCAGTTCTGAAAACCTATAGCCCAATTGCTATCCAGTTCTGGATGTGCCAAAATCTTCTGGTTTCTGAAAGAGCCCAAAACCCAAGTGAGATTGGCTGAGCATCTCTGCTCACCCTGGTCTTGCAGAGCAGGAGATCCAGGCTTGGTCCCTCAGAGATTGCCCTGTCCTGATGGCTCTGCAGGGAGACATAGCGTGTATGAAGTGCTGCCCTTCAGTGTGTGTCCTGTTGACAGATTTCTAGAGACTTTAAAAAAAAAAACCCGAACAAACCCGCAGAACAACGTGTTATCTTTATTCACGGTAGTTTCCACTGCGTCCTTTTTCTCCCTTCTCCTGTTATCAGAAGCAGCCTGCTCCAGAGTCAGATTAAAACGCCTCCAATGTTTTCCTGGGCTTGTTGAGGACTTGAATTGCAACAACCTCCCTCGCAAGTGGCAGCAGGTAGGGAAGACCCCTGTGGGCTACAAAAAGCTCAGGGCTTCTCGGCTGTCCTTGGGATGATGTTGTGAGAGCAATCCATCAAACACAGGCGGTGCAGCAGTCGCAGGCAGAGCTAGCATCCCACCGGTGCATGCAACGGCTTTCCTGCTGGGGATCTGAAAGGGACACAGACTGTTATTCCCAGCACCGAGACACAGCTGGGGACACGCTGCAGCATCGCCATCACACATGGCTGCATCCCGGTGGCAATGCAGGAAGCACTTGCTTTCCATAGTTTTCTTGTTTGAAATTGATGAATGAATACATTTGAAAGGCAGATACAAAACAAAGATGAAGGAGCGTGTGTCTCAGACTCCATGCGTTCAGCTACCAAGTAAGTGTTAGTTCATCGCTGGGGGTAACATGAAGGTATTTCTTTAGCCAGTTCTCCCTCATCAGCGACACCTTAAAAGGCATATTAGAAAAACTACCCACTTGCTTACACTACATGGCCATAAGGAAAAGATAATAGCTATCAGTACCAGGGAATCAGTTCTCTCTAAGTGACCCTTCAGACCTGAACAAAATGTCATCGCTACCAAAAATTTGGATATGGGCAAATTCATCCACTGCATCTGCTTTCCCCACATTCATTGACATGAATGCAAACAACTGGGACGGGAGCGCAAAGAGAGCCAGACCTTAGTCCATAAAAATGGCAGTTCTATACCACAACCAGTATAAATCTCTTCTGCCTGCCTGGTTTGGGGCAAGATAATGGGATTATTTATACTGCTGTGCATGCAAGTAATTTTGCTGCACTTAAAAGAAGCAGTCTGGGCTCGTATGAGCAGGATTTGGGTCTCTGCTGTGAGTTTATGAGTTGTTGTGAGACACTTCACATCAGGTATAGCCACACTTACAAGACTGTTTCCTGAAATAAAGTGTTGTTTGGTGCCCAATCTTAGAGCATCTATTAATGTTTGGCTTTTAGTCTTTAATATGTTGTTTTATTTATAACTGGAGTCTGAGACACCCACATAAAAAGCACATTGCACGGACGAGCTGTCTTGGTGCTTACCTTTTCTTGCACTGGCCAATCAACATAAATATTAGGAGGCTACTGGACAAACTCAGAATGACTGGAATGAGGATATATAGCTGTGTGTCCTCTTTTCTGGCCACTGCAAAGATAAAGGGCAGCAAATAAGAAAACCCTCACTTCCAGAATGAGTCATTATTACCTCTTATGAAGCTTGGGCTCAGATGCAAACTGAGTGTCTCCAGGTTTGTTACCCTACACGTATTTATTTATGTGTTACAGATATATGCCAGGCACATGTTACTGTATATATATATATGTATGTATAGTATAGGGTAACATGCTCCCTCAGGGTAACGTACGTCCTGCATATAGATGTAGCCACCTCTATGTGCCTCTTCCCTGCTTGCTGCATCTCGCAGTGCAGCCAGTGCCCTATAGACCCCATGGGGTGCAAAGGAACTGATCTGTGGTGTGGGGCATCTGGGAGGGTTCCCTGTGAGAGACCCCAAGCACCATGTGCCCTCTCTCCCAAAGCAGAACCTCCTCCATCACAAGTGGGAAAGGTACTGGTGCAGAAGCGTTAATATTTTGGGCCTTGCCTGTGAAGTGCACTGGAGGTACAAAGCTGTAGGGATGGCTGTGCTGGTGTAGGGTGAGGGTTTGACTAAACCAGGATCCCACCTCCAAGTGCTGGACACCAGCAGATGCCTGTGGCAGCCATCAGTGCTTGGTCCCAAACAGGCTTTATAAAGGATGTAAAAGAAACGCTGGTTACTTTGGGTTCCATACCAGAGAAACACTCCTGCGTCCAGTCACTCCAGAAGCCCTGGTCAGCACAGAAAATATTTGTTCTCCCCCTGACACGAACACAGGAAATGTGGCTTTTATTCGCTCTGGAAATTGTTAAAGCGGTCTCCATTTGCGTTGACACAGACTGAGAAACAAAACAGAGAGGACAGATGTCAAGGAATTATGTGCCACCACCAGTAGCTCTCTGGCATGGTCTGATGTTTCTGAATAGGCTCTGCAAACTCTTGGGTTACGTTTTGGCAGTTTTATATGATCTCATAATAGTGTTGGAGCAGCTAATGCCAATAAGATATTATAGAAATGAATCTACTGAAAATACATATATGGGGGGGGCGGGGAGGGGAATCATGTATGTTGGCATTTATGCCTGTTAATTTCTGGAATCTTTCATTAAATTAGCTAAGAAGACTCATGTAGAATATGGAAATTAAAGAAAAAATGTCCTTTGGTTGTCCCCTATGATTAATTACATCTTGCCATTTTTGCTACCAAAACTGCGCCTGGATATCCCATAAGGAGGAAGCACAGAAGACGTGCTGTGACCCAGGCCACGTCCTCAGAGAGATCGGAATTATAGTTTCACTTGAACGAGTGAAGTTGAATTTGAACTTCAACAAGTTGTGCCGCCACATTCAGGAAAGCAAACCACAACAACCTTTAAGTTTCTGTTAGATAGCAGCTTCCTGAGGTAACAGGCAGGAGTCTCAGGGACTTGCACTGGGATCTGCTGCAGCTAAAGACAACACTGCGGTCATGGTCGGGGCATTGGGTAGGAGCGTGTGCCATGGCACAGCCCGGCAGCATTGTCCACCAGCAAATCATAGAATGGTTTGGGTTGGAAGAGACCTTAAAGACCATCCAGTGCCACCCCCCTGCCCTGGGCAGGGACACCTCCCACCAGACCAGGTTGCTCCAAGCCCCGTCCAACTTGGCCTTGAACCCCTCCAGGGATGGGGCAGCCACAGCTTCTCTGGGCAACCTGAGCAGTGCCTCACCACCCTCACAGCAAAGAATTTCCTCCTGAGATCTCGTCTAAATCTCCCCTCTTTCAGTGTCAAACCCTTCCCCCTCATCCCATGGCTCCCCTCCCTGATCAAGAGTCCCTCCCCGTCTCTCCTGGAGCCCCTTGAGGGACTGGAAGGGGCTCTAAGGTCTCCCCGGAGCCTTCTCTTCTCCAGGCTGAACCCCTCCCAACTCTCTCAGCTTGTCCTCACAACAGAGGGGCTCCAGGCCTCCCAGCATCTCCATGGCCTCCTCTGCATCTGCTCCAACAGGTCCATGTCCTTCTGATGATGGTGGCCGCAGAGCTGGAGGCAGCACTGCAGGGGGTTCTCCCCAGAGGGGAGCAGAGGGGCAGAATCCCCCCTCCCTCGACCACGCAGGGGGTAACGAACACACCCTGATGAGGTGGTGCCTCCCCGCTGCTGGCCATCAGGCTGCCATCCCCCCGTCCCCTCCCCGCAGCGCAGCCTGTGTTGTCCCTACCGCCCAGGCAGCCTCGGCCTCCTCCTCCTCCTGGGCCAGCTGGACCTCGTACTCCAGGCAATGGGGCGGCGTCCCCCCTGCCGGTGGGCTCCAGGCCACCTGGAGCTCCTCCACTGCAGACACGGAGACCACCAGCTGCTCCGGGGGCGAGGGCTTCGCTGGGTGGGGGATAAAAACAGAGAGGGTCAAGAGGTGGGACCAAATGGCTCCTGAGGGAAAGGCGTCAGCGAATCACCCCCAACCCCTGCCCCCTCTTCCCAGCTGAGGTGGATTCAGAGCTCTTGGCTGTGATGCCGCAGGAGCTGGAGTGGTGTCGTTATTCTGTCTTGACTGGTGGGCTGTGTCCCCGCTCTGTGAAGGGATTTTGAGAGCCAAGGGGGTGAGTGTGGTGCTGGGCTGGCCTTCCCCATCCTGTGAGGGCAGCCCCGGCCGGGCTGCGGGACACCGCAGCAGCCTTGGCCCGACACTCTGTGTCCCGGGAGAGGCTCTGGTTTATGTCAGATGTCCAAAGCCACACACATAAGCGCATGGCAGCACTAATTCATAGAATCATAGAATGGTTAGAATTGGAAGGGACCTTAAAGATCATCTAGTTCCACCCCCTGCCCTGGGCAGGGACACCTCCCACCAGACCAGTTTGCTCCAAGCCCCATCCAGCCTGGCCTTGAACCCCTCCAGGGATGGGGCAGCCACAGCTTCTCTGGGCAACCTGGGCCAGGCTCTCACCACCCTCATAGCAAAGAATTTCTTCCTGGTATCTCATCTCAATCTCCCCTCTTCCAATTTAAAACCGTTCCCCCTTGTCCTGTCACTGCACTCCCTGACAAAGAATCCCTCCCCAGCTCTCCTGGAGCTCCCTTCAGATATTGGAAGGCTGCTGTAATAGAATCCAGAAATCCCAATTATTAGCCCAGTGGCTCAACTGGAGGACTAGCTCTTTATCCCCCTGACATTTACAAGTGCGTAAATGCATCAGCCTGGTAAGTGCCCATAGGAAAGAGCGAGCAGATGCAGTGGGTTATACACCACACTGTGCTTTGCTTCCTTCTGATGGGTATGAAATCCACCTTTGCTCTTGCAGACCCCATCACACCTTGCACTCCATTCTCCCCAGCCTTGAGCTTGGTTTGGCCAGCACAGCCCAAAGACCTCCACCGTGTGTAAAGGAGTGGAGCCATGGTGTCAGTTCCAGCACCAGTAAATGGGGCCACCTTTTGCTAGAGCCAAAACCCCCACAGCTGCCCTGCCATCTGCCCAGCAGCCTCTTGCTGCTGTTGTCCAGCTGCTGAGTGCAGCACTTGGAGGCACCCACTGACCCCCTCAAGGTGGTCTTTGTGTGGTCTTGCTTGCCTGCAAGTGCTGCTGGAAACCAAAGTCCACATGCCACATGCCCTTCTCCGGGGGCAAAGCCACCCAGACACGTTACAGCCACCCATCTACAAGAGTGATACCTAAGGCAGATTTAATGTTGTTTATAAGCGGTTAAACTGTAGAGAATGTTCTTTTAGAGAAGAAATGTAGCTATTTTAGCAACCATCTCAAATGGTTTCAAGGACTTAGTAAGATAAGAAAGGATGGATGTGGCCCTGAGAACATGGTGACCTAAGACAGGGTTGCAATAAATATGGACGTTGTCTGACTAACAGGGGGTAGCAGACAGATCATTAGTTTTAATGAGCAATTAAGCAGTTAGACTGTTTTGCCAACATGAAAAGTGAGCCAAAGGACAGGTGAAGAAGATGAAGATTGAGGAAGAGATGACCCCCACTCAAAATGAGGACCACCAGAAGGCACAACTACACATGCCCAAAAGCTTATTATATTATGTAAATGTATGTAAAATGTAAATATGTACATTCTTGGAAATATAACAAATATGCCACTGTTTTCTTGGAATTACACTGTCTATGTATACCTGTTGTGTATAAATTTAATTTGACAATGGCATTCAGTGCGCACAACAGGAGGAGTCATCCCCTGTGCCCCCGGCGCTGCGATAGGGAATGCCTGCTTTCTGAACTTTGAGTCTTAGAAAGTTTTATATGCTGTTTCGTGGTGACAAGAGCACACATTGTTTTTGAGCCCCCTGCCCCCTCATGCGAGATGTGAGCCTCGGGTGCGCGGTCCCCAGAGCCCCCTGCTTTCCTGCTGGCCTTGCCTTACCCAGGTTGTGGAGGCGGAGGGTGACGTACAGCGGCCGCAGCAGGGTGGCTGCCGCAGAGCCGTTGACACAGATGCTCAGATCCTGATATTCTGCCTGGCTCAGGTTTTGCAACCTGCAGCCGATGTTTATGCCCCGGTCCTGAATATAGTCATCGCACTGCACGGCGTGGTCCAGCCCCTCGTACCTAACAGAAAGCAGAAAGAGAAGAAAAAATACCAAAAACCCAGAACAATGGCAGTTATTACTTGGGTAAGGCCTTTTTTCTTTAAGATTGGACCTAAGTCTGGAGCATTGCCTGTACCGTTCCCACAAGTGATCCAAAGCCCAGCGTTATGTATTGGTCACCTGGACCTCTTGCTGTGGGAAGAGTGTGGGGAGGAGAAAAAACTAAATTAACACAGAAAGGTGGCTTCCCAGGCTGGTGTGTGGGCTGTGACAGCCTCTGCCCAAGCCCGTTCCCAGAGCACAAGAGACCTAACAAGGTGCCAACTGTGTGAGGGGAGCCTGGGCAGGATCTGGCCCCGACTCACGGAGATGCCCATCCTTCCATGGACCACTTATGGCACCATCAACCACCAACTCTGGAACTGCAGAAAGGTCCCTTCCCAAGCCATAATGAAGGGGTTTGTGGCAGGTGACATGTGCCATGAATGTAATGAGCTCCTCACTACAGGAAGAACATGGAGCTGCTGGAGCGTGTCCAGAGGAGAACCATCAAGCTGGTGAGGGCTCTAGAGAGAAAGTCATACGAGGAGAGGCTAGGGAACTGGGCATGGTTAGTTTGGAGAAGAGGAGGCTGAGGGGAGACCTCCTTGCCCTCTACAGCTCCCTGAAAGGAGGGTGGAGAGAGGAGGGGGTTGGCCTCTTCTCCCAGGGGAATCATGACAGGAGCAGAGGAAATGGTCTGAAGTTGGGGCAGGGGAGGGTTAGATTAGATCTTGGGGAGAATGACTTTGCTGAGAGGGTGGTCAGGCCCTGGAACAGCCTGCCCAGGGAGGTGGTGGAGTCCCCATCCCTGGAGGGATTTAAGAAATGTGTAGACATGGCACTGCAGGGCCTGCTCTAGAGCCCGAGGTTGTTGGGTTTTGTCTGTCGGTGGGTGGGTGTGGTTTATTGTGGGTTTTTTTGCAGTTGGACTCAATGATCTCAAAGGTCCCTTCTAACTGTGAATATTCTGTGATTCTGTGATGAGTCTTAATGAGCTGCTACTGTCATTGCAGGTAAGCCCCATGCATCTACGTGGGCATGTAATGGAAACCCAGGGGTGGGAGGGAGGAAGGAGTTTGTTGATTATTAGCTGACGTGCAACCACAAGCCTGTCCTCTTGTACTGCCTCCCGTTTTTGGGGGCCACTCCCCAAAACTTAGCGGCTGAATATTTCCCATTCCGGAAATACTGAGTGGTGTTTCATATCGCCTTTTAAGGCTCCTGCTGGATCCCTGCCTCTATACTCTACACCTAATGACAGTCTCCCTGCACAGAACATTATGTTTTTGAGAAAACTTCATGAGGTAGTGCTATAAAAATTAACTCCCAGGGATTAAAGGATACCGTGGCTGCGTTCCCACCCACTCTCGTCATACAGTGGGACCCAGATCCAAACACCTGGTTTTGTTACAGGCAGTTAAATAAGAGTGGGTTTGTTGTTTGTTTTGGTATTTGTGTTGTTTTGGGGTTTTTTTGGTGGATTTTTTTTTTTTGGAACAAATCATGAGTTTCCATGGTTTCTTTCAAGCAGAACTTTGCAGTTAGCCATGTGGTTTTAAATCAGTGTTTCTGCTTTGAAGACTATTTCCAAGAGCTACGTGGAAACTATTTTTAAAAAGCGGCTATGGTTTTCTACACGTAGCCCAAAGGCATGAAACCCAACGATTTCCAACTAGTCAGTTGCAGAGGAATTGAAGCACAAATACAACATTGCTTTTGTCCAAAAACACTAAGTCTCGCTTTGTTTTTTCTTGTGGAACAGAATGATTAGGCAACAGTAGAAAAGAATCAGCTGGGAAACACGCATTATTACTACCTTTTGGCAGCATGGTTCCTTGTATGAGATATGCTAAGGCTAGGAAAATAGATTTGAAGATTAGAACTGTTAGTTGCCAAGAAGCCCTGCTCTTTGTATAGGGTTCACTGAGCTTGGTAACCCCCTGCCAAATCCTATCCCATAGAGATATATGCTCTGTGATCAAGGGAAATGTGCAGCCAGAGTAATCTAGGTGTGATCACCAAAGGGAAAGCACAAGGCTTTGTGATGGCCACCACACAGGAGCACGCCATGGGGGTGGGAAAGGGAGAGGAGGAAGGGAGAAGGCAATCCCTGTAGAAGGTCATCACAAACCTGATTTTAAGGAAGAAAGCGGGAATTTGGTATTTCCAAGGCACATATTGCTTGGAGTGTTATTTCTGCTCATTCTGGGTGGATCGTGTACCAGCATAGCCAGCCATAAAAGCATATTTTCTGCAGCATTTTAGTACCCTGAGAGGTTTGCTTGGTTGCTGGCTGGCTCTTTTTCTGTTTTGCTGATACATACCAATAATATAGTCCATAATGTACGCCCCGAGGAGCGAGGAGACCTGGTTGCCAAGTGCACTTGAGGTATTCCCAGTCATGATAGATGCAGTGGAAATTCTGAACCTCTGATTCCAGTTTTCCTGTCAAATGAGAAGGAAATAACCTCCATTTAGCAACACTGCAATCAGGCCCAGCAGAAATATTATTTCATGTCTTTGAACAATTGTGTGCTGCGGCGGAAAGACAAAAAAAAGGAAAAGGCCAGTCATCATTATTAGATGGTTTTGCTGCCAAGTGCTGTTTCTTGTACGAGCCAGTCCACTGTCTTTAGAGCAGAAAGATGCACAACTGACCTTTTCATTCAGCAGCGAAGCTCATGCTGGGCAACCCCGCGGAGCTGGGGTAGGGGCAGAGGGAATGAGCCCCACGTATCCAATGACCACAGGCAGTGGAAGCAGAGATGCTCTGCTGCCTTACACCTC